TTTTAGATCTGGAATGGCTAGGCCAATGGTGAGAAGTTTTGAGGTCATACAAAGATTATTTGAAGGAAGTGGAAATATTTAACCTGGAGAAGAGAATCTGGGAGACAGGAGGTCACAGACATATTACCACAGTGCCTGGCACATAGTAGGAGCTTAATATGCTTGCTGACTTGATTTTCTGCAGGTATTCAACAGGCAGCCATTTGGAAGAGAGATTCAACTCATTTTGCCTGGCTTCATAGAGAAAAATCTAAAAATAAAGGATACAAGTTACAGTGAGGCAGATTTAGATTTAATGTAAGGAAAAACTCTTTATCTATTAGGGTTATCTAAAAATGCAATGGGCTGCTTCCAGAAATATTGAGTTCCTATGAACTGGAAGTCTTGAAGTAAAAGCTGAATGACCACTTGAAGATTTTGGAAAGGGGAGCCTTGTTCAAGTGGAATGTAGTCCTCGGTAAGGTTGAATTCTACTCAATAAGCATTTATTAAATACTTATTTAACTCAGGAATCAAGTCCATTTGCATAAGAACTTCCTTATTGGTGGAGAATTATTACTTGGTTGTCCATGACTGCATGAAGGGAGGAATTATTGAGAAATCACTAGAGGAGAGATCCTGGTGCATATGGCTTCCAACTTTGAGAGGAGTTTATATCTACTATGTTATGTGTAAGGCAGTATGCTAAGCACTGGGGATAAAAAGGCCAAAATAAAAAGCAGCCTCTGCCCTCAAGGAGCTTATGTTTTAGTGGGAAGATAAACAGACAAGTAAATGTAAGATAATTGGAGAGGAGAGAGCACTAACAACTAGTAAGAATCAGGAAAGGGTTACAGTAGGAGCTGACACATGAGCTGAATCTTGAAGGAAGCTGGAAATTCAAAGAGGCAGAGATGATGAGGAATTGCATTCCAGGCAAGGCAATTAGCCTGTGTAAATATATGGAGGCTGGAGATAGAAAGCTGAATTTGGTTAAGAGCAAGCAGGCTAGTTTGACTGGAATGTAGAGTGTGTGAAGGGGAATAAGTCTGGGAAAGTAAGCCAAAGCCAGTTTTTGGAGGTCTTCCAGTGCCAGAGGAGTTTGTATTTTAACCTATTGTCCCTAACAGGGAGCCAATGAAGGTCTTGATTAAGGGAGTCATGTGATCTATGCTTTAGGAAGATAATTTTAGTAGGTATCTAGAGAAGGAATTTGAAGAGGGAAGAGACTGAAAGCTGGGAATCTAATGAGTAGACCGTTGCAACAGTCCTAGCAAGAAATGATGACAGCCTGAACTAAGGTGGGAGTCATGAGAGTAGGAAGTAGGGATCAGATTGAGAAATGATGTGTAAATCAACTAGATAGAACTCACCAATTGATGGATATTTGGCTGGTAGGAGAAGGAAGAATCAAGGATGCTACCGAGATTTTCAAAGTGGATAACTAGAGGGATCCTAACTCCCTTAAAGGGGCAGCTCGGTGGCACAGTGGATAGAGCACCGGGCCTGAAATCAGACTCATCTTCCCAAGTTCAAGTCTGGCCTCAGACACTTAACTAGTTGTACAACTCTGGGCAAGTCACTTAACCCTGTGTGCCTCAGTTCCCTCATCTGTAAAATGAGCTGGAGAAGGAAATGGCAAACCACTCTAGTATCTTTGCCAAATGGGGTCAAGAAGACTTGGACATGACTGAAACTCCTGAACAACAACAATTCCCTTAAAAGAAATATGGGATTTGAATAAGAGGAGGAGTTTGGGAGAAGGAAGATAATAGGCTCCATTTTGGATCTGTAGAATTTTAGATGCCTACAGGATGTCCAGTAGTTGATGAGGACTGGAGTACAGGAGAGAAACTACAACTAGTTATATTGATTCCTTTTAATTCTGTGATTGGAGCCTTAGTCCATTTGCCTAATTAGGTCTTAGAGGATAGTTGCATTATCTTTTTAGTGAAAAACTAACCTGTGTGGCAGGGACCTCCAGTCTTCTCAGACAAGATTGGGTGAATTTCTAGCTGCCCAACAGTGCCTGTTACCATTGACCCTAACCAGATTAGTAATATATATTCATAAAACTAGCAGAAATCGGGAGTACAGAGGCTTTGTTGTTGTCTTTGACAAGTTCCAAGTCCTATTTTATACAGATGAAAGATAAAGAAATTTAGTAGACTTGAAGATCACCCCATGTAACCATTTGGTTTGGCCAAGGTGGAGGGAAGGGGAGGTGGGGTGGATCAGACTAAATCTGACTATATAAAGCACATTCTCTGGCCACCCTGGCTATTGCAACAGAATCTCTGGCATTCTGGGGACTTTTGTTGTTGTTCAGTTGTTTTAATCATATCTGACCCCATCTGGGGTTTTCTTGGCAAAGACATTGAAGTGGTTTGCCATTTCCTTTCTCCAACTCATTTTACAGCTGAGGAAACTGAAGCAAACTGGGGTAAGTGAATTGCCCAGGGTCATACAGCTAGTAAGTGTCTGAGGCTGGATTGGAACTCATGTCTTCCTGACTCCCGGCCCAGTGCTCTAGCTGCCTCATACTGGGGATATTCCCTGGATTTGGGTTTCAAAGGCCAGAGATCTTAGCAGTTTTGGATTTGCATGTCTGGAATTCTAATTAAAGATGACTTTTTGGCTTTGGAATACTCTGAGGGGGGTATTCTTAAATGAGGAATATTCTTAATAGAAGCAGATCCTGTGAATAGAGAGATGTGAATTAAAGAGAAACTAGGAAAAGGGACTCCAAGTCACTGTGACATTTGGAAATCAGACATGTGGCAACTTAAATTCTGACAAAAGGAAAGTAAGGTCCTTCTTTTCTATATTGACAGGCCAGGCCCCGGAACTAGAACTGAGGAGAGCTGGGGAGGGTGGGGAGAAGGAAGGTACACAGTCTTAATTGATCTTTCATTTGCTGAGTGACCCTGGCTGTGAGTTATTTGAATCCTAAACCCCTCTGCCTGATCCATCACAACCTTTCCCAAAGTGGTAGACAAGAGGTTCACGGTTCAGGGTCAGAGTGGCAATGCCCCTAGGTGGCATCGAGCTACAGCTGCTTGAGGAAATATGTGGTTAGTCCAGTGTATTAGCTCCTCTCTTGGTGATTTAAGGCCTTGTATAGCTTTGGGTCTGGAAGCTGGCCAGGGTTAATTTGCCCAGTTTCATTAACTCTTTCTTGTCTTTGCTCTATTCACCACATACAACAAGGGCTATGAATATGTAGAAGGAGTAAGTGGGCATAAAACAGTCATTCAGATAGGTGACCAAAGTCTGTTGGGGGTTTTCCTTCTGCTGCTTCTTATATTTGTATCATTTACACTGAACAAAATTAATACCTCTGTAACACATTCTAAATCTATGCCCACAGGCTCCCTACAAGCAAACACTGGAGAACAGTCAGCCAGCAATTTGCCCAAATGACTTAAGCTAGGTAAACATTGCAGCAAGAGTTTAAGGCAGCATGGTGCCATGGAATAGCTTAGATTCAGAGTAAGAAGACCTATTCAAGATCAGCTTGAATCCTATCTCCACCTCACTTTAGCTGCATGACTTTGGACAAGACATTGTCCAACTTGGCCTCAGTTTCCTTATGTGTAAAAGGAAGGGGCTGGAGATGAGGACTCCTAACGTCCCTTACAGATGTAAAGCACTAAAATGTATATCACTTCAGTTCTCTTGTCTTCAGTTCCTTCAAATGTACAATAAGGGATTGGAATACATGCTCTCTAAGGTCTTTTCCAATTCTAAAACTATAAGCTTACATTATTTACCTCTTTGGACCCTATTAATTGTAAAACAAATGGGTTGACCCAGATCATCATACATAAGGGTCCCTGTGTCCACAAAGTGATTTAGAAAATTGCTTATTAACATTATCTAAGTTTTTTTGTATTTTTATCTTTTGTTAAATATTTCTCAATTATGTTTTAATCTGATTGAGCCACACTTGGAAATGTTTGGGGGCCATAGTGTTGGCATGTTTGACACCTCTGACCTAAATAATCTGTAAGTTTCCTGTGATCGAAATCTCTCTCAATCTGGAAAGTTCAGGTTTGGTTTTTTTTTTTCCCAACAAAAAGGTAGGCTCACAGGAAGAGTCAGGGCATCTTAGTGAGTAGTAAGACTGGGCCTATATAATTTAGGATAGTCACTAGTCAAGTATGAAAGGTACATCACTCAATGTAAGCAAATGGATTCAGATTAAGTAGGCAAGAGAGTAAAGAGAAGAACCCTAGAAGAGTGGGGAAAGGAAGGTTTATTCACCTCCTTGGAATGACTGGTAATAGAAGCTAGATTGTTATTTCCATGTTTCTCTGGGTCTGGGTTCTTATTGAGAGAGCTTGTGTTTGTTTTAGGTTTCCGGGGTCCTATGTTGAAAAAAGAAGCTAGTGCAGTTTCATGTTAATTATTGGCATTGGGTAGGGAGTGGCATAGTGAATGGAACCATGGACCTGAAATCAGGAATATCCGAGTTAAAATCCTGCCTCAAATACTTCCTACCTCTCAGTTTAATCTCTGCCTCAGTTTCCTTATTGGTCAAATGGGGATAATAATAGAGCCTAACTCCCAGGGTTCTTGTGAGGATCAAATGAGATATGACTTGGAAAGTGCTTTATAAAACTTAAAGTGCTACATAAATGCTACTTTTATTGAATCATTTATATATAATTATGTATAATATAATAGAAACAATTTATGTAATCATCATCATTATTATTATTGACAGAATATTTCCTAGGAAGGAAAGGCAGAGTCTGAATTCAGGCAAATTTCCCATCCATGCAACAGAACATGAACTGATAGTCCCTGAGCTTTCCTGAAGAATGATACCTCCATATATTAAATCTCTCAGTGCAGTTATTAATTATTTATTCCAGTAAGAGCAGAGTAACCTCTTACCAGACATTTTCTATTAACCAGACAGTTGCTGGCCAAGAAGAAGAGCAGAGAAGCCTGCAGTGGAAACCTCCTTCTGAAGGGCCAGGAGCTAGGTAATGTTAGTTGCACTGGCTGCTTACCTTCTGATCCGAGCAGTGGGACCTGAGCAAAATGAAATGATCATGATCCCGGACACGGAATAAATGCAATGTTCTCTACGTGTGTCAGCCAGGCTAGGGGAGGGCCAAAGAGGCAGCTCCATTTCCCAGGCAGTCGGTTGCAGAGAGAATGCAGGTCTCCTCACCCAGCTGTAGTGGGAGAGAATGCTTCGTTAACCACCATGACATCACTTTCTCTCGATTTTTCTTGCATTCATCTGTTCTCAGCTCTTCAAGGCACTGCCAGCATGCTGATGACATACTGCCTCTGAGTGGGAGCTCCCTGAAAAATTGTAACTGTGCCAAGGGATCAGAGGGGAGGGGTTGGAGAAAAAAGGAAAAGGAATGAGGAAGGACTTCCTGACATTGAGGACTAAACACTTTATCCCTTTTCTGCCTCCATCCTCTACCTGTGCAGGGGATCCCTACACCTTTATTGAAAAGATCCACATCAACTTCCAGCAAAAGAAGTATCTGAAAACACCTTACAGCTTGAGGAAAGCAAATGATGTAATGGAAAGAGTGCTTAGTTCTCAGCCAGAGGACGTGGGTTTGGATACCTTTTCTGTCATGCCCCAGCTGTGTGACCTTGGACAACTTGCACAACCTCTTTTGTCCTTAGTTTCTTGTCAACCAAGAATGGCTAACCTGGGCCTTTTCTCAAAAGTGGGAGAATTTCCAATGGGCCATAGAGAGGGAACATGATCCAGGGGGAGAAGCAAAGCCAGAAGAGAAGTGAGCGAGGCTGGCTTGGGACCTTCTTCAAAATAGAAGTTCTGGGAGGAACTCACCAAGTCAAGGCAACAAGCATGTATTCAATGCCTACCATATGCCAGACACTGTGCTAAACACTGGGGATACAAAGAAAAGCAAAATGAATGAATGAATGAATGAATGAATGAATGAATGAATGAATGAATGAACGAACAAGTAAACAAACAAGCAAATAGATAAATAAATGGACAGATGGTTAAATAAATGGATGAATGAATGAATGAATGAAAAAGCAAACAGATAAATGAAAAGAACTGCAAAATGAGGATGTTGGACTAGATGACTTCTGAGGTCTTCTAGGGTTCCAGATCTTCGATCCTGTGTGAGATTTAGGTGGGTGTTTGGGGGAATGATCGGATTGCAAGAGTGAGGAATGTTTCACTCCTGAGCCAGTGTTCTACCTAACCACCAATTACACTGTAATATCTCCCTCTCTCATCTATAAAATGACAGGGCTGGACTAGATAATTTTGAAAGTCCCTTATTGCTATAAAGTTCTAAGAAAATCTCTAATTATAGCTTGTGTTCTCTACAGCTACTTTCACCCTGGGCTTTCCAAGCACAGAAACAAACACTGAGCTCAACTTTCCTTCTCCTGCTCTGAACACCCTAGGAATCTGAAGACGGTCACAGTGAAGCAGCCTCCCTCTGCCCCCTCCTTGGACTTTGGACCAGAAAAGTATGTATTTAGACAAACTGGAGATTTAGCCAATGCTCAGGACCCTAGGAGAAATAATTAACTACATCACTTCCAAATGAGATATAACCTGTCCCTTGGAGTGTTGATCCACTCATGCCACCACGAACCACTGGCTCCCCAAGACTCTTAGAGTTGGAAAGGACATTAAAAATGAACAGATGAGGAAACAGACCCAGAGGGTTAAAGTGACTTACTCAAGATAATGTAGGTAATAAAGTGCTGAGCCAAAATTTGAACTCAGGTTCTCTAACTCCAAATCCATTGCTCTTTCCACAGTTTCATCTCTTTTCCAAACTATGAGACTAGTATTGCACACAAGTACCACAAGAAAGCATGGAATGACAGGGTCCATGTTTCTTCACTCATTCACCTAACAAATATTTATCGAACACCTACTACAGACAATGTCACTGTGGGCTAGGCAATATGGATGACTGGGGAAAGATTGACTCTAGCTTTAATAGAACCTAGGTTCAAAAATTGCATCTGATGCTTATTTGTGTGACCTTGGGCAACTCCTATAATTTCCTTGGTCCTCAGGTTTTTTAGTCTTTTGTAAAAATAAAAAAAGAGAGAAAGAGAGAAGGTTGGGTTAGATGGCCTCTGAGGTCCCTTCCAGCTCTGGATCCATTATGAGTCTATGACTTCCAGATCTACACATTCAGACTTAGTCTCTTTTCTGAGTTCTAGTCCCATATCGCTTCTACCTATTATGCATTTCCAAATGTATGTTCCAAAGTCATCTTGGACTCAATGTGTTCAGATCAAAACTCATCCCCCTTAACTTCCCCACTTAAAACCTCTCACCCTGGGAAGTGTAATCAAATCAACATTACCACTGCCTCTGCAAAGAACATGTCAATGGATCTCCCTATTGTTCCATTCACCATCTGTGACTTTCCAGATCATGACTCCCTTCCCCAGTCCCCAGTCCTCTATGTCATCTCTCCCATTTGAATGTAAGTTCTTTGAAGGAAAAGATTATCCCTCTTTCGTATTGTAGTTGCAGTACTTGTATATAGTAAGTGTTCAATAAATGCTTTTCTTTCATGCATTCATGTCATGTAAAAATCTATTATTATTTTTATTATTATTGTGAAGCATGTCCTGAAAAGTTAACAGAAGTCAAATGCCATTAAAATATTAAATTATAGCAATATGTTTTCATCCCAACTTCAAGGATACTGTAACATAAGAACATGTGCCAAGGTAAATAAATAAAATCACATATAAATTCAGTCTGAGTTCAGTTACCTTATGATACCAGATGTTCAATGGGCAAGACCAGCTGCTGAACTTGGAAAACAAGGGAAACCTTTCCTCCATTACATCCCTTTTGGTTCCCTCCTTTCCCCTCCCCTCCTTTTCCATCCTCTAAATGCTCTTCAGTGAAGCCTGAGGGTGAAATTGTTGGTGCCACCACAGACCAGAATCAGAACCAGAATCACACTCCCCAAACAAACGAAACCTTTTACCATAAATTTTAGGAACCAATGAGGTTTATTCAGAGCCCTACCTGCATTGGCAGGGATTCCCTGAAGGGGGAAAAAGGACAAAGCTTTTATAGGTTTCAATTTAGGCAGGAGGTGAATTGGGTATCAGATACCTCAGAAATGGACAGTGCTGTTGCTGGGGAACTCACAGGTAGGAATAGGGAATATGGTAGCCTTTCATTGGACGGGCCTGTTGCTGGAGGCTAGTAACTGGAAAGGCTCTTCTTCAGGTTAACTATCTCTTGTAAACTCTATCTAATAGACAGGACTGTCCTTGCTATTTCAGCAGTAAGAATGGTAGCAGACAGGGTAGGAGTTGCAATTCAAACAGGGTCAGGGTCAGAGAGAGGACTTACAGGCAAGAAGGAGTTGCTTTAGCTTTCTCTGCTCCCATAAACGCCACAATTGAAATGGGCCGTAGGCCATGGATGAACTCTATAGAACACTTGTTAATAGGACCCTGTTCACCAGTTCTATGCCTCTCTGCAATTACCAGATAGCAGCTTTGTCTCCACAGATTTGTCTTTTGGGACCTGCTGCTTTTACCTCGCATGAGACTGTAGGCAACAGGGCTGTGTTTGCACCTGGTGGACAGAGCCTGTTAAGGGAGATTTCACCACTTGCTGCTGATACGCCAGCTGTACAGCTGAGTACAGGTGGCTTCACAACATCAACAGGTTAGTTCCCTGTAGGATTGGAAAGGAACTGAGGTTTCCTCATTATGCTTGTATGTATCTTATATGTATGTATGTGTGTGTATTTGTTATATACAGATATAAAATATATGTAATTTTTTTTTGCTGTTTCTACCATTTTTTTACATACTGTCTCTACCATTAGAATGTAAGCTCTTTGAGGGCAGGAGCTATTTTTACCTTTCTTTGCATCCTTAGTGCTTAGCACACAGAAGGTGCTTAATAAATACTTATTGACTGATTGATTGATTGATTGATTCCCCCACTTTCCTGAAAGGAGCCAAGGAGAAACTTTCTGAAGCCTTGCAGATGCTGATTACCAGATTCCTTCTTCTTCCAGGTACTGAGACACACCAAGGCAGAGAAACAGAAATAACCTGGATTTGGTTTTTCAGGTGTTATGCCTGGCTTCATCACAGACTTTTTGGCTAACTGGGCAAATCACTTCATTTCTCTTTACCTCAGTTTTTTCCACTTACCTCACAGCTGTCTAAAAGTGAACATCTGAAATGATCTATAGCTAACATTTTGAGGTGGCACAGTGGATAGAGTGCCAGGCCTGGAGTCAGGAAGAACTGAGTTCAAATCCAGCCTCAGAGACTTACTAGCTATGTGACTCTGGGCAAGTCACTTAACCCTGTTTGCCTCAGTTTCCTCATCTGTAAAATGAGCTGGAGAAGGAAATGGAAAACCACTCCACTATCTTTGCCAAGAACACCCCAAATGGAGTCATGAAGAGTGGGGCATGACTGAGACAACTGAAGAACAACAGTTGAAGATTGAGTGACAATTGTTCTACAATGTTAACCTCAAATCATATTTTAATATATTATGACATTTCAGGACACATACTATGAACACCATCCTGTACTCAGATTTAAAAAAAAAAAAAGAAAATGGGTGTAGTTAAGGAGCTGGAACCCAAGCCGAGTGATTAATAGAGAACATTTACCAAGTAACCTTATCAACAGGGAAAAATAAATATGACTGGTATAAACCTTGGGTACTGAGGAGAGTAGAGAGCTGGGGGAGGGCAACCTTCCTGGAAGCAAAGGGATGGACTCAATCATAGCCTCCAGTCAGGCAAGGTTCTGCTTATTTCTAACTCGTTTTCTCTGTGGAACTTTGTCCCTGTGCCCTTCCCCCATGGAAAGATGTAGATAAGAGGGGCAATGAATGGGCATGTGTGAATGAGGCCTAAGGCCTGAATTGCTAGAAGGAATACTCATATGAATGAAATACAGATTCATCAGAGTCTTAGAGTTCTATTTGTTCTGCCTCAAGGGGTTGCCATGACGGAAGCATTTTATCAAACTTCAAGTGACCTAGAGATAGGAATTATTATGAACTATTCTGTACATGCTTAATAATGGTGATTCCCAACCCAGCAGTCATCTCAATCCTTAGGAGCTGACCTAAAGGCCGCATGTTAATTTCTCCTGCTTTCTGGGATGAAACCAGCACAATATAATTTTGAAAATGAGAAGA